AAAGCATATAAGCCAATTAAAAATTGGGCAGAGGAGCTGAACAGACAGTTCTCCAAAGAAGATATTCAGATGGCCAACAGGCACATGAAAAGATGCTCCACATCCCTAATCATCAGAGAAATGCAAGTTAAAACCACAATGAGATATCACCTCACTCCAGTAAGGATGGCCAACATCCAAAAGACAAACAACAAATGTTGGCGAGGATGTGGAGAAAGGGGAACCCTCCTACACTGCTGGTGGAAATGTAAATTAGTTCAACCATTGTGGAAAGCAGTATAGAGGTTCCTCAAAATGCTCAAAATAGAAATACCATTTGACCCAGGAATTCCACTTCTAGGAATTTACCCTAAGAATGCAGCACTCCAGTTTGAAAAAGACAGATACACCCCTATGTTTATCACAGCACTATTTACAATAGCCAAGAAATGGAAGCAACCTAAGTGTCCATCAGTAGATGAATGGATAAAGAAGATGTGGTACATATACACAATGGAATATTATTCAGCCATAAGAAGAAAACAAATCCTACCATTTGCAACCACATGGATGGAGCTAGAGGGTATTATGCTCAGTGAAATAAGCCAGGCGGAGAAAGACAAGTACCAAATGATTTCACTCATCTGTGGAGTATTAGAACAAAGCAAAAACTGAAGGAACAAAACAGCAGCAGACTCACAGAACCCAAGAATGAACTAACAGTTACCAAAGGGAAAGGGACTGGGGAGGATGGGTGGGAATGGAGGGTTAAGGGGTAAAAGGGGGCATTACGATTAGTATGTATAATGTAGAGAGGGTGGGACTCAGGGAAGGCAGTATGAAACAGAGAAGACAAGTAGTGATTCTATAGCATCTCACTATGCTGACGGACAGTGACTGTAATGGGATATGTGGAGGGGACTTGATAATAGGGGGAGTTTAGCAACCATAATGTTCTTCATGTAATTGTACATTAATGATAGTAAAATAATAAAAAAGAAAGAAATATTACTGATCTTCCTTTTCATCATATCACTGGGATAATAGAAATAACTTCAGAAGATTGTTGTGGGGATTAAAGGACTTGATACAATATGAAGTGCTTAGAATGGCCTAGCACATGGTCAGTGACATAGACACACTAGGAATTAGTATTAGAACAGTTATTATTGTCATCATTGTTCTCTAGTTCCCATTGATATCTCAGACATTTGTGTTAAATGGAATCAGAAGGCTGCCTTGTCTAACCTAACGTCAAGTACAGGAACTTACTTTATGGAATTCCGATTGCACTCCCTGTAAGGTGGGCTTTTCACTTTTTCTTCGGCTGAATGTCAAAGTCTGTAACTTCATACTAAGCTAAAATCTACCTCCCTGCGATGCCTACCCTTTAACGTCGAGATGAGTCTTGCTGTTCCTTCCTGTTCCTGCTTTTCTGACTAAGCGAGTATTGTTTGGAAGTTCTTTGTACCATTTCTAGTGAAAAAAAGATGACACCGTTCCTGTCTTCATCACACCTTCTCTTGGAAGAAATCTCCATTTTTATTGTTGTTGTTTGGTGTTAAAAGACAAGCCCTTTTATAAAACTTGTTTTAATATTACATGTCAAAGTAGAGAAAATCTAATGAAGACTGAATAGTCAGAGAAGGCTTCAGAAAGGAGGCATATTAAAGAATAGGCATTTATCTATATACTCTTTTTTTCATTAATTAGTTCATGTTTACAAATATTTAAACCTTTATTGACAATCTACCATATGCCACATCCATGAGTAGGAGTTTACCAAGTAGGTAAGAAGGCAGAGGGTGAAGTCCAGGTGAAGGAAAGATTAAATACAAAGATGTAAAAGTATGGGAGGTATGGCTCAAAATCATGTTAGGGAGTCATGAGTAGCCCAGTATAAATAAAACGTAGGCTTCAGGGAGGCAGAAATGGCTGATGATACCAGAGATCTTGGGGAACCTTGAGGGCCAAACTAAAATGTGAGCATAGGAAGTTGTTTGAAGAGTTTTTAGCAGGAGAGTACTGGCAAAAGTACTGTAAAAACAGATTTTCCTGGAAGCAGAAAGTAAGGCAAGGAGTCAGATGGCAAGAGGAGAAATGAGGGTGACAAGATACTATAGGGACTGTGAGCACAGACTTCAGAGTCAGATTGGCTGGTATCTGATACAGGCTCTGCTGATTGCTAGCCTTGCGACCTCAGGGGATTTTTTACCTCTGTTAGCTTTGATTTTCTTGTCTGTGTAAAGGGGATGTTAATAGCCCCTAGATCACAAGGTTATTGTGAGGATTAAATGAAAAAGGATATAAAACATTTAACATGATGCTTAAGACATAGCAAAAACACAATAAGCAAAATAAGGAAAATGCAGAAGTGCATTCCAAGTGAGAGACAGTCCCAGCTCTCTGCCCCTTTATTATTTGTGTTACCTGAACATCCTCCTGAATGTGGCCTACTGAGCCCTCCTCAAATAGATTTTTATTTGTATCCTTAGCAGAGTATGGAACATCTAAGCCCTGAGCAGCATCTCAGCTTCCTTGAATGATTACTCCGGGGCCTATTCCCTTCACTCTGTCTGCAGATCAGTTAGGCCTCCAGTCCACGCAGGAGCAGAGCTGGGACAGCTGCAGGCATTAGATGAATTCTCCTGATAGCACATCATCAAATTTAGTGGAGACGGGCAGGCTCTGAGAGTCAAGTTGCTAAACTTGGCTAGAATAGGAGAATACTGGGGCAATTCAATTTAAAACACGGACCCTGATCTGATATACTAGTAAATGAAGAGCTGAAAACATCAGCATCGTGACCTGAGGGGCCTATCACTGTAGGAATCTCTTGTGTATGAAGACATGCTCTCCTTGTGCTCCGATCGCTGGCTCAGGGCCTGAAGTGACTATCACAGACCACTGGCTGGAGACTTCAAACCCACTTCCACTGGCATTCTCCTTGAATGTGAATCTGGAACCCTGACACTAGCTTATTCCGCCAGCTTCACATTCTGCAGGCTCCATTACATCACAGGCGTAGACCATCATCTAGTCTCTCTGTACCATCATCCCCAAATTGCTATGTTCTTCTCTCTGAGCTTGGATTTCCACTGTTCCCTTCTCTATCCAAAACTTTCCACTTCCACCTCTTCTCTGAAACTCATCTTTATAGTTAATAATCTCACATGGGCCTTCAGTCTTTTAGCCTACAGCTTCTTTTACTTCTTGTGTTAACCATGATACTTAATAAATACTTGCTGAATAAAATAGTGAGTTAAGACCTGACTATCCTAGAGGCTACTGTTTCCCTCTCTGGAACTGCTCATTCTCTTACACTCCATCTGCAGAAGGATCACAAGGGGACTACTTCTCCCTTCACTCCCCATGTACGGTCTAGGCCATAATTTCTCTATCTCATCACTAGTAGCTCCAAAATTTCAATATGGGAAGGTTTAGGGTAGCAATCTGGTTAGAGAGGAGGAGTACCTAGGGGTTTTGTATTAGTTACACTTGCATTAACAGAAGACCGTTGTTACTTGCACATTAATTTGCGATGGCTTTGAGAGCAGGAGGCAAAGGTACTCTACTGATGAGTGTATGAACACCCCCAGACAGCCTTTGATGGTAGCACTGACTTTTATGTGAAAAGCCCTGTCCTTTTGTTGCTTATGCTGTTCTGTCTCCCATCCTGTCCTCCTCAGCACTTAGACCTCACTGAGCATCATTTGAGCCATCTTTTTTTAAGTATAGTCACATCTGTCTAATTTTCTATACTTGTACAGCTATTACCCTGTCCTCCTTCTGACCTCTATCATCTATCCCCTGGACTGGCACATTCATGGCACTTTACTTTCTCTCACTTGAAAGTTACCTGTGACCTTAGTATAATGTTTAAATTCCTTACCGTGGTTTAGATAGTACTTTCGAATCTGACTTCTGCCTTCCTCTTCAGACACAGTTCTCATGATTTCCCTTCTTATTCTTTGTGCTTCAGCCATGATGAATTCCTTGAAGTTCCAGGGATTTACTTGTCCCCTCTTGCCTCCTGTCCTTTGCACATACTCATGCGAGAAATTCCAGAAGCCCATAATTTATGAAGAGGGACTAGAGAGGAGTTTATAGTTACTAGGCTTAGAATCCAATAGAGACAGATTTGATTCCCAACTCTGGCATTTACTACCTTGAGGCCACAGGTCTTTAGCTTTTATGACCTCCATGACCACATCTGCAAAGTGGGGTGACAATACCCACCTTATAGAGATGTCACAGAATTATGACTGGAGCATTTTGCCTTTTCTCACAAATATGTTTCAGAGTTCCTTGGAGAATGAGCATAATTGCCTGTCCACTGTATTTGAAAGCAGTAGTTGCCAAAGTGCTTCTGTGAAAAATTAGTCTGATGGAAGGCTCAGCAGAAAAGTAACAGTAATACTTCAAAGAAATATTGGATATGATTTCCTCTCCCTTGAATATTTACAGTGCACATTAGCTTACTTTGAAAGATCTAAATTAGTCTTATAATATAAAAACCTGACTTCCTGGGAAAAGTAGGCCTTTCCTATTTATGTCACCATACCATCACCCTTTTTATTTCTCCTCAAGGCATGTTTAGAGTTTATAATTATATTTAATTTAGTATTTTATTGACTACTTTCCCACCAGAATATATATGTAGTCTATGAGGACAAATATCTTGCTTATATTATTTACCAGTATACATCAAGAATCTAGCATGATACCTGTGCCTATAACATGCCTGTGCATATAATATATTCTAATAAAACTTGTTCATCTTTCTTTAACTTTGCATCATCTAAATAAATAGTCAATAAAGGATGGGACTAGAACTTGCACAAAGTGCTGCCAGATTCTGGCCTCTTTTTGACCATAGATGGTGTGCATTGTGGTCTCTGGCCACCACCTAGGGTTATTGATGGTACAGTTTTTCTCTTGGGCAGTTATTTCTGTGTATTACCTTTTGAAGTTTGAACAATTGTCTGATATGCCCAAATATGTTTATTTGTATCTTTCAGGCAAAGGCTGCCACCTAAAAATGTTTACTACTACCGCTGCCCAGACCATAGCAAGCATTATGTGATGTCCTTTGCATTTTGTTTTGACCGAGAAGAAGATATTTACCAGTTTGCTTACTGCTACCCATATACGTACACTCGCTTTCAGCATTATCTTGAAAGCCTGCAAAAGAGAAACATGGATTACTTCTTTCGGGAACAGCTGGGTCAGAGCGTGGTAAGGCCCATTCAAAACAGCAGCTTTGGGGAAGGAGCTTAGCAATGGGAGTTTACAGAATGCGAATAATGCATCTTGGTGCTTTGTAGACTATATGTTGTGGAACTTTCTAAAATTATTATTTTTATTGTGTAATTATTTGCTACTATGGCCACTGAGACTTCACAGAATAGGGTATGAGACGGATGCTTGTCCTGAACGAAACTGATTAAGCTCTCTACTAAAATGCAAAAGTTTTGGTGAATCCCAAAAACTGAGAGAAAAGAAAGAGCCTTCTATTGAGTGTTTTAAAAGCATGAAAGCACTTGAGGAGTGTAGCTTCTAAGATTAAGCAAAAAAAAATTGTTTTTTGGTGAATTCAACTTGCCTACAGTACAGGTTATCAAGTTAAGTACATTCTGACTGTGCTGCCCACAGTGTGTTTCTGTCTCTGCCATCCATCAGTTTCCAACCCTTCTTGCTTCCCCTGGACTTAGTTCTCTGGGTTTTTAGATTTCACATTACTCTGTATTAGTTTTTTTTTTTTTTTGCTGAAATAACAAATTGCCATAAACATAATGGCTTAAAACAACACAAATTTATTATCTCACAGTTGAAGTCTGAAATTGGTTTCACTGGGCTAAAATCCAGGTTATCAGCAAGTCTACATTCCTTCTGAGGCCCTAGGGAAGGATTCATTTGCCTGCCTTTCCAGCTTCTAAAAGCTGCTTATATTCCTTGATTTGTGGTTTCCTTCCACCTTGAAAGCCAGCAATGGCTGGTTGAGTCTATCTCCTTGATGCCGGGGTTCTTGTTCACAGAGCTGAAGAATGAACTTTGCAAACAGTCAAGGTAGGAGAGCAAGGCAGAAGCTTTTATTTAGAGAGAAAGCAAAAAGACAGAGCTCCTGGCTCAGGCCACGAAGGGACAAGAGAGTCCCCTTGGTGGTGCTTTGTCTAGGGGTTTTATAGGCAGTTGAGAGACAAAGGGCTAGCGATGTACACCTGCTAAGTGGTCCCAAATACTTTTGAAGAAACACTAAGTTTCTTATTAGTCTTCCTGTTTATTTACAAGAACTTTACTGCTCTAATTTCCTCCCAGGATAGCAGCTTCCTGGTCTGGGAGCATATCACTCAAGGCTGCCTGCTTTGTTCCCAAGGTGGGCTGAGTTACTGCCTTACTTTTTAACTAACTGGGTTTTAAAATGGAATCCTTCCTGTTTTTACTATGTTGTTTTGGGCTTGTAGTAGTTTTGGGCTTGCTTGCTACATTGCCCAAGTTGCAACAACTCATTTGTTTAGGGCTGGAGGAAGAAAAGCAGCACCTGGGTAAAGTTAGAAAACTCAGCTGGGCCCCGACAGCAGGCCAAAGCAAATCTCCCAGGGGTTATCTTGCTTTGTTTATGTTCACAGGTTCCAGGTATTAGTACTTGGATATCTGGGGAGGGAATGCATTGTTCCACTTACCACATGTTCCTTCTCTCCTTTCCTCTTCCCCTACCTCCCCAGTCCAGGGTCTGCAATCATTCTACACATTGGATTCATGGGTTTGTCCTCTGTGGTGAGCAATACTTAGGTTGCTAGTAAAGAGTAAGCAGGTGGTAATTTGGTTTTATGTTTCACTCTTTAAGAAGCGTGGATTGTGCCTCTAAATAGGCATATTGTACTTTTTTAAGATTCTAAACGAGAATACTAGTGGAACTGGCAGAAAAATCTGTACTCAGGGTTCTGAGTTTGTGGAAAATGAATTCTGCCTAGTGTAGGTTCCACTTAGAAGGAATTCTTACCTCTAATTAAAGTTCTCAAGAGTAGACTGTTCAAGAGACATAAGGTCTGGTCTAGGATACCCTGAAAGGGAGAAAAAGAAAGAAGGCTTGTGTATGGCTAAGGTACCTGAGAGCCAAATCTAATCTTAAAAGCTAGTGGTCATGATAATATTCTTATAGTCTGAGGTTCTCTATGCACCAAGATTTTGCTAAATATCTTCCATCTACTCTAACCCTCTTCCTAACAGTGCTTACGGGGGATACCATGTGTATCTGGGGTCTGTATATTTCAAACTGAGAATTGGGACACATGGTGTATAAATCAGTATGCTGGGAAGAAACATGGCAGCCTCACATTAGGATAATTTGAGGAGGGCTTAATAAATGCACTATTTACAAGGTGTGAGCAGTATGTAGGGAAACCACAGGAAATAGTGCAGTTTCCTGGGGCTAGTAATAGCTCAAAGGGTGTTAAGTGAAGGAATGGTTGCCAGAGCCCAATAATAGTCATGTAGTGGGCCACCTTCAGTGGAACAAGTGGCCTTCAGTTAAGGAACAAAGTTAGCCTAAGATGACCCCACAGGGAGAGAGCTGAGAAAAATCAATACTTATAACTCATTCTTTCACTCCCCTCTGATCTCCTGCTGGGAGTTTTGTTGACCAACCCAACCAGAAATCAGAGGGCTAAAGAGCCCATTGTAATCCGTAAATAAAGCTTCCCTGATCAAAGAAAGTGGTGGGAAAGGGGAGAAAGTAGATTTAGAGAGGCAAATAGAACTTATTAAACATTCATGCTCTGTATATTACTGGAAACAGTGAGATAATTTGAAGTGGGACTGTCAGAGAAATTCTGAGATGAATATTTGTCACACATAGAAAATGTGATATGAATTAAAAGAGTGAGAAGTTCATTCAATACCAGTGACTTTTAAGGGCAGTATCTATACATGTCATTCCAGGGTCCACCCAAGATTTATGCCAGACAGAATGTGCACATCGAATGACTACTGAGTGAATTATTGAATGAATGAAAAAAATGAAAGAATGAATTAAGGTATATGTCTAGAGGTAATGCAGTAAGCTGAGAGCATTAGAAAGCTTATAGGAGAGACAGTAGAACAAGTTAAGCTACCAATAACTCATATCCAAATACGTATCTAAAATAACAGCAATTTAAAAAAGATAGAAGTTTATTTCTGTCCCATATAGAATTCTGCCTATCCAGATGCAGATAATCCAGAGCTGGTATTGCAGCTCTGCTCCTTGAAAGCCTTAGGCAGTCAGGTTATTTCGGCTTTCTGCTCTGCCATCCCTGGGACGTGGTCCTCAGTCTCGTGATCCAATACAGAATTTTGCCATCATGTCCATGTTCAAGGCAGCAAGATGAAGGACATAGAGGGACAGAGGAGAAGATTCTGAAGTGAAAGATATGACACTTTCACTTTCTTCCCATTTAATAGAATTCATTTTCACTCTTAACTAAAGGAAGGATGAGAAATGAAGTCTTCATTCTGGGTGACCATGTTTCCAGCTAAAAATTGGTAGTCCTACCGATACGGAGGAGAATTAGTACAGAAAGACAAACTGAAGTCCTTGCCCCAAGGAGCCTGAATTCTGCTTCAGCTCTAACACCAAACCACTCATTTGACTTTGAATGTTACTTACCCTCTCTGGGCACAAGTTTTTCATCTATAAAATGAAAAAGTTGGACTTGAACAGGTATTTTCAAATTATTTTTTGAGAAATTCCTCAGTTAGAAAAATAATAATAATAATAATAATTTGAGAACCATGTCCTTCTTCAGACCCTGTGAGAGGCACTCTGGGAACATACAACAAGGTATACAAGTTTTGGCATACTTCCAGAAATGTATTCTTTACCAGAGGAAATAAGACATGTTCAATTAGATATAATATTTTTTAAAGTATATCATGAAGGATCTCATGAATTGTTTAAAGAGTTAATAGTCAGACCAAATGTCATGGAGAAGATAGGGTTTCAGCTGAGTATTGAAAGATGGGTGAGCTTCCTGAATACAGAGTTGGGAAGGAGGAAGCCCAAAGAGCAGGAACAGCCCGAGTCACTGCATGGTGGTCGTGGGCTAGAAGTCTGGTTTGACTGGAATAGGGAATTTTCCTACTGGAAGATTAGGATAGATGGGAAGATTGGGCCGAACTCTGAAAGCTTTGACTGCCACATTAAGGAATTGTGACTGTATCCTTTATTTGGATTCAACACACAGGCACTCTGTATAAACTGTCTTGCTTATCTCTCACAAAATCTTATGGACTAGGAAGAATCATCCCAATTTGGGGGATAAATCATATAAGGTTAAAAAGATAAGTTACTTGGCTAAAGCTTCATGGCTAGTTTATGTCAGGGCCAAGATTTAAACCCACGGCTTCTAATGCTATGTCCTGGTCTTCTGATGGCCCCACTGCTGCTTACTACATTGGATCTGCTACTACCCACAGTAGAGTTTTGCAAAAGGGATGCCCTCATCCAAAGCTGCATCTTAAGAAAATGAAGTTAATGGAAGCACAGGGTGTACCTGTGTAAACTAAACTAGATTAGGGAAGCTCTGTGGGTTGGCTCAGTCTCCCTTTTGTGGGCCTTGAAGCAGATACCAGAGACTTTAAGGCTTTCTGGCATACTTTTGCAGACAGGACGATTCTTGGTTACCAGGGCGTTTGATATGGCTCGTGTCTGAAGGCAGCACTATAATTAGTTAATCCTCATTCCAATTTGGAGGGAGGATAATTACAAGTTGGAAGGCTAAACATGCCAACATCCAGATCTTAGGGAGAGCAGGCAGGAAGTAAGATTTTGAATTTCTAGGGCTGGAACTATTAACCACCATAGGCATAGCTGCTACTGCTACTAATTAATTATACCATCTAACATGGCATTTTATTTTACTTAGCAGTGGTCCCTTCTAACCCCACCAAACAAAAACCCTTTGTACCTGCATCAAAGCCGTGGTCTGACATTTAAGATAAATACATCATAGGAAAGGCCTTTTTCTCCTTGTTGTTTTCACATCTTTATTGAGGAATAATTTACATACCATAAAATTCACACATTGTAAGGGTACAATTCTATGATTTTTAGTAAATTTATAGTTTTACAACTACCACCACAATCCAGTTTTAGAACATTTCCATCACCCCTAAAAATTCCCTTGTTCATCTCCATTTCTGCTCCAGCCTCAGACAACTGATCTGTAATCTGACACTAAATTTGCCATTTCTAAACA